TTGGCTGCTGTGCCAAGTACACAACCAGAGCGCATAACAGCAAACCTCATCTCACATTGTGAAAATGAAATGTTTCTAAGTAGTGCAACAGGAAGCCACCGCAATTTGCTGTCTGAAAAAATCAGATATTCCCCGGAGGAAGTTAGGTTTAACAGCTGACAGGAAGGGTTCTGTCCACAGGTCACTGCGGGACAAAATATAGGCCGCATATTCCATTAAGTGATTATTCGTATATGATCTGGATGAATATTATGTGACGGTGCTTGAAAGCCCACACTTTACATATGACAGTGTACGTCAACACTGGAAACAATTGACTGTATAGTGTGAAAGGAGTTGTTCGCAATGTTCAAACCACAAAAGCCACCTGATCGCACTTTCCCCTCAACTTTAGGTTCACTCTCACTGTAGCAGGCCACTGCCTGCACGAAAAAGCACCAAAGAGCAGACAAAGTGAAAATATGGTGAACGTAGTGCAGCATTTAACAGTTAAAGAGTCAAAATATTTTTGTGGGTAATTTATCATTTTTATATCTCAATGTGGTCATGAATTCACATAAAAAAACATGAATTCAAACAATGCAATAACCAGTAAGGTTTGAATATCACCACTCCAATCACAACACATCATAGAGGCAAACCTGTTTTCACTGTTCGATAGCTAACTTTCCCTCTGATGCACTGACACAGAAAGGATAGGTTTTGAAACAACACAGGGATGTGGGAGACAACCCTACGCTATTCAGGGTCATATTTCCTCTCCAGACACTGGTGATACATCCAATTTGGATTCATAATGGCAGGCAGTGATGGGTGAGGGTAAGCATAATATTTACGTTGGTCATTACAGCTGACAGTGGCATAATATGCATATTTTCAACAACCAGAAGTGGGCCTTTAGTATCAAAAGGTTGAGAATCCCTGCTTAAGGGGGTCACAAGTCATATTTGTTGGGAACCACAAACATAAGAGACTTTTCTAGTATACATGTTTAATTCTGTATTTTTTATTGTTTTATAAACCTTCCTTACATAGACACCATGATGAAGGCTGACATAAAGCGAGTGCTGTAAAACCTTGGTTTGATCCTTTGCACCAAAGCTTGAGTGTGAACTGAAAGCATCGATACCTTGCTGCGTCTGTTGTTTCTGTTCTTGGCTGTGAAGATGCACACACACTTTATTCATCACAGAGATGCAACCTGGCTCGACACAGCCCCGACAAGAGCCGCCGGCCTCTGCCTGAGTCGTGTTTTAATAGTTTTAACAGTGAAGCAAATGGCAAAGAGGGCTGTCACAGCATTTACCAGGGGGTTGTGAAATCTAAAATAATCCTAGTTACAGTATACTGTATGGTCTTAAACTACCCTGGGACAAAACCTTTCAGAATAATATTTTCTGAGATTCAGACGAAAGTATAGTCACTTCTTCTCCCACAGCTACACCACAGATTGACTTCAACAGACACCACACAATAAAAAACAGATGTCTGTCTTAGTTTGATGTGTTTTGTAAATTATTTTTATTTTCTTAAAATCGTTTTTTTTAATGGTATTTGTTTAACAGCCTTAATCGTAGGGTGGCTGTAGGTGGGGAAAGCACATAACAACAGCCCGGTTGTCAGTAGCATCCAGCGGTGGTTGGCATTAAAACCACAGCCAGCTCCATCTTATGTAAAGACGCTGCTGCTTGTTGCTGAGCACGAACGCTACACAATCGTTGTTGGTAAGTCCTGTGATCGCAGCCTTCTTCTCTTTACTTGAAACTCAAACAACATCAGGTCGTCTTAATCACACACAGTGCACACATGCACACACACTTTCACTACCTATATTCTTCTTGCAAAGCAGAAGCTGTTACTTTTAAGTGTCTTTGAAGCCATGCCAGATTGAAGGCATGTAGTCTTTCGGAATCTTAACAACGATTGTGTGGGAGTGTGTTCGTGTGTGTATAACTTGCCTCCTGATAGTCACTGGTGTTTGTGGGTCAGAAGGAAACCACTTGAGGTTTGGAAAACGTTCAAGCAGCACTTCTTGTCTAAAAGTACGAAGTGGGGAGGTGAGGGGAAACAAAATGACACGTACGGTACGTCACATGTCAAACCCAACAACATATAGGTTTTACATTCTGTAATTGTGTTGATAAAAAAATAGTAGACGAAAACTAAAACTGAGAACGGAATGACATCTGTTTTCTTTACAACAGTTATTCTCTTTTCTATTACACTTGTTCGTACTCTACCTTCAGAAGAAAAGAGGTCCTCAACAAAGCGTGTGAGAGGGGCAGGAAAAAGGATGTGGCAACTGAGTGAAGGGCAACAGAGAAAGATAATCTCTTTATTCATCCACTCCTCATTCACTCCTGTACTGATCGAAAATAACTTATTATGATGCCAAATTTTGTAAAAAAACAGTGAAAAGTTTTTTTCCAAAGACTGTTTGTCCGTGTCTGTGGCCGACTGAGTCTCTCGATGTAAACAGCAACTGCAACTGTGTGATTATGATCCATTTACTCTCCTCTGTTTCCATATGGAAAGATCCTGTTTCTCAGTTTGTGTATGTGTGTGTGTGTGTGTGTGTGTGTGTGTGCCAGCAGCTTCGGACACTGACATTTAGTTATCTGTCAGTGTCACAAGTTTTATTCCACATTTGTAACATTATACAGAATCTTTCCACCATACTACAGAAATGCAACATAAGGCCACTTGTAAATGCCATGACAATGACTTTAAATTAACATACAATTTGTGGGCAGCTGGGGTATTGCACAACATTTATTGCACTGGGAGATTGTCTGTAGTTGACAACGGCTGATTTATATTTCATTTATTGACAGCCCCTTGAGGATCCATTCCTTCCCACGATCCACGGCTGGCTTGCGACCCTAACTTTGAAAAATGATGATTTAAAATACTGTTCCCTTTGAAGTTAAAGAATACAAATATGAATCTTTTAAATCTCTCTTCCTAATCTGTCAGGCTTCGCTAAGGAAAAAAACAGGCTGTTACATAGCTTCTAGATTGAAGTTGATTAGCAATTATGAATGAGACGGTTTCTCACGGTCATTTGAAATGGTTTCAGCCTAATAGTCTATTTCACAAGCCACGCAGATCAGCATCTCTGAGGACAGGTCATACCTACAGTCTAAATGTGACCAAATACCTGCAAAACCGATGACGTCCCCGTCAGTCTGAGCTGTAGTTTGTGTTTCGTTCAAATGAGCAAATGTTAGCATTCATTAGCATACTAACATGGTAAACATTATACATGCTTAGCATCAGCATTGTGAAAATGTTAGCATGCTAATGTTAGCTTTTAGCAGAGCCGCTGGGGAAACAACTTTCAGTGAATGTGTTACATGAAAATTAGCACACTGCCATTTTGTGTACTTGCCTACACACAACACTGTGTCAGTTTGGAAAGGTGGTCATGAAAGTGTTTCAGTTCAGGCTATTTCAATCAAGTGAAAATGTGTCATATACTCATGCAGTTCACATTA